AATACGTGAAATCAGCTACAATTTGTCGGCTACTGATATCACAGGGTATTAATAAACTTAATCATACTAAAAGTTAGCATGCCAAAATTCTCAATCAGGAGTACCCGAACGCAATAGTTTATCCTGATCTTCATTTTTCAGATCTATCATCAAGGGAAAGATGCATTCAAAAAAATTAAAAATACAATCACACTGTAACGCTGGGAAAAGGTTAAACACAAAAAAATGAAGCAGGTACAGATAAACTTCGCTGAACACACGTATTCATGAAAAAATTGCGTGATAATTGTACAAAAATTCAACTAGAACCAACATGTTCACTCTAATTCAGGAATAGTACTACAGAACATCTTAAATCAAAGAGAGAAAAAGCAGCGCCGTGAATCACACAGGAAATGCGGAAAAACATAAAGACATGCTCGGACGCTAAAATAGACGAAATAAACGGAGAAAAAACGGAAATAAATCGGACCTGAGGAATTTTCACACACGTGAGACCTTGTGTTGGAATCTAGAATGCACAGATTGAAGAACGATGGAAGCAAGAGGAAGACGAACGAAAGAGGAAGAAAAAAAAAAGGGGAAAAAATGACTGATTTGGTATTTAGAGCATCTCCAACAAACCCAGACCCAGTGAACTGTAGTCTACAATCAGATAAATAGAAGGTAGACTAAATCACTCTCCATCAGATAAATAGAAGGTTATGGACTAAATCACACTCCAATGGTAATGTGCAAACATAGTGTTTTTTTTTTTCATAAAATTATAATAGTACTCTTCGTCAATTTCATTCACAGTTTCAGAGTAAACATAGACAACGCCTTTATTTATTGACAAAGTATGTTTCTAAGAGTAATATTTATTTTTATAAGAACATTTCTATCCTGTATTCATTCGTATTTTTGTTAAGAGAACAATTATGTCCAACTCGCTGCATTATGATTGTTATGAATTGTTACTCGCTGCATTATGATTGTTTTCCTTATTTTTGTGTTGTATTAAATATGTTAATACATAATTTTGACAAAATATATACCATTAAATTTATATTATAATTTTATAAATGTATCAATTTTTTAATTTTTATTTATGTAAATTAATATACTTTTTGATAAAGTCTATAAAAATAATTACCAACAAACTATAAGTTAATCAACGACTTACATTATAAATTGATTTTTTTTTCAAATTTAGTTAATATTTTTATAAATATTAGTTACATGTTTTAACAGATAAAATAATCATTACATAAGTATTATTATATTTTTTAACTTTTATTTTTTGTTAATTGTATCATGATAATTTAAATATATATAAAATAATATATTTAAGACTTCTAGAAGTACTTTGACATGTAGGAAGACTTCTAGAATAATTCCATCTTTTTCATGCCACATCAGCAAAAATGGAAGTAAAAGAACAACTGTTGGAGACGTTTTTTATCATACTACTTCTACAATCCCACAATTGACAGTCCATTGGAGATGATCTAACACCTACGTGACAACTTTTAGGGAGTTAAGGCGCGCTTGTATATTAAATAACCATTTCAAAATGAGTTTTTAAAAATTAGCTAGAGTTAATTTTGAAAAAATAGTATGATTAGTTGTGAATGAGATTTTAATAATGTATTAAAATCTATATCTATAGTAGTAATATAAAAAGATTGTTGGAAAATACCAGTGTTTTAAAACGCGCATCGCGTCGCGTTTTGGTCCTTATATTGCGTAGCGTAAATAGCGTAGCGCATTGCGTAAGCTATTCGAGCATTTCACTTTTAATGCCAAAAATAATAATATATACTACCATACAAGCAAATAAATAATTAAAATAGTCTTAAACCATAAATTTGGACATTAAATCTAATAACTACATTCAAATATTAGTTTATACAAACAACCCAAAGTCATAATCTTCAAAGTAAAGACTCAAAATCTAAAAATAATCGGTCTCATCCAGCCAATATCTCTATTTTTCGTCATCTAAACTGAAAAATGGAAAAAATTTATATTAACACAAAATCATGCTTGTTCACAAATCACAATAAGAACAGTAATCAGTCCTGAAAGAAAAAATTTATATTAACACAAAATCATGCTTGTTCACAAATCACAATAAGAACAGTAATCAGTCCTGAAAGTCATATTTTTAAGCCACATAACACTATTAGATAGACATAAATATATGAGAGATATTCAATGGCATCATCTTACAGTAAAATATGAGATAGAGTAAGTAATAGCAGACATTTTCTCATTAGTTATAATCTTATCCCAAATCTCAATTATATATATTTATCCCAAATCTCAATTATACTCTGTGAAAGGGACTGGCATGAAATTAAGAGCATGTTTTTAGCTCCAATTTTTTTTTTCCTCACATGTTTTCCTCCAATTAAAATCCTCACATGTTTTTAGCTCCAATTTTTTTTTTTTCCTATCTACCTTTTTTCCCACTTTCTAATAAAATACTAATAATAAAAAATAATAATTATATTTTCCAATCCCAATCACATTACAGCCACAGAACCCTTTGGAACTAAAAATATGCATTCATTCATCACAAGGTGCATCTCCCCTTCACAGATCAACTAGTGTATATCCCGTGCGATGCACGGAAGAGTTCATATTTTAAACATTTTTTAGACTTTATTTTAAATATAATTATTTATATTTTTCACATCTCGTCTATTATGAAAATAAAATAAATACAATCAATGAAAAATATATAATATTAAATACTTTTCTTTATACAATATTTTTTATTTAAGAAATATTATTAAACCTTACGGTTTTGATTTGTTTTTTTAAATCAATAATCCAAAATATATGATTGTTAACGTACAAAAAATAATGGAAATAATCCAGACTTTAAAGTGAAGCTATTTTTTATTATTTTACAAATAAAAATCTTCCAAATTTTTTTTAATTTCAAAAAAAAATTGGCAAGTTTGATAATGAGTTAAATCAAGTTATACAAATGATTAAATAGTTAAAATGTTATATTAATTATATTTTAAGAAATTAGATTATATAAAAATGGGTAAAAAAATATTATACTAATTAGTTTGTTAGGATTGTGATTATATGAAAGTTAAAATAAAATGAAATGTAACCAAAAAATTAGTTCGTGGTTTTTTCCTAAATGTTTGAATTTAAAAATCTAGTAACCAAATTTACATTCACGTAAGGAAAAAAATAAATAATAAATATTTATTAAAGAGATAAATCAAAAATATTTATCACTTAGATAATAAATAATAAATATTTACATGTAAAAAATAAATAAAAATATATTTAAAATATAAGTCAGAATTTCAAATAAAGTAAAAAGAGGGATAACTCATTTTTTAAAAAAAGTTTCTAATATATTGATAAATATCTCCATAAAAATAATCATACCATTTTAATTTTAAAAAAATTGACAAGTTTGTTAGAGAGATAAATCCGGTTAGACAAATGATTAATTTGTTAAGATATTATATTAATTGTATCATAAAAAATCGGTGAGATAATGTAGATAAAAAAATATAATACTAATTAGTTTGTTAGAAAATTTACCCAAAAAAATTGTTTGGAATCTTTTCCTTTAAATGTTTGAATTTACATTTTTAATACCGAAATTCTATTATATCACATAAGGAAAAAATAAATAATAAACGTTTATTATATATTAAAATATGTAATTTTAAATTTCATATAAAGTAAAAGGTATGCTTATTCAAATTTATTTTTAAAATAAAAGTTATGATAAACATTTATTGATTCTCTTTCAAATATATTAATAAAATAAAAATATAAATCTAAACAAATTTTGAAACAACCAAAAAAATCGGATTGATTGGCATAAAAAAAGGAAGTGAAATCGGATTTGAATGTTAAAATCGGAACACCTTATCAAATTGAATGCTAAAAGATTCGATTTGATTGGTTACCTAATTGCATGGGCTGAAAAAATTCAAAAAAAAATTTTACGAATTGAAGAAGCGGGAAAACACTATATTGAAGCGGGAAAACGAAATGATTATTTTTGAATTGTTCAAAAATAATTTTTCTTCTCCGTATTATATAGTAATAGATACGTTCATTATAAGCAAGAAAAATAAAAATCAATACGTTCATTTTTTTAGCAGTTTTCAGCAAATTCACAAATTAAACCCTAAATTCACAACCTTAAAACCTCATACAGACATCACAATCACAATTTCACAAATTTCAACTTCAAATGCCCCGAAATTAATATATTTTCAGCGTGAAATTCATATTTTTGAGCCGAAATATTTCAGTCACAACCTCTCCCATCGAGATTCGGTTCATTTAAGCCACAAAATTAACATATTCTCAGAGGACCGGATTGAATTGAAGGTACCTGAAGGCTGAAACAGGCGAGAGACGAGAGACGAGAGACGAGAGCCGGGCGAGAGACGAGAGACGAGAGCCGGGCGAGAGACGAGAGACGAGAGTCGGGCGAGAGACGAGAGACGAGAGCCGAGCGAGAGAAGTGGAGGCTGAGGTGGAGGCTGCGAAATTCCTTTGTGATGGGCGTGGAGGTTGCAGTGGAGGGTGGAGACGATGAAGAGAGGTGAATAATGAGGGTTTTTTTTTTTCCGCGACGGTGAGAAGT